CAGTGTGTAAGTCCCAACAGCTGACTACTAGCTAACGTAAAAGCTTCCTTAAACAAATTCATTACCAGTCACACTTTATCAAACCAAACCGAGGATGCATTAGTAAGTTTAAGTCCACTGTCCCAGCTCTCTGATTCCAGAGAACAAATCTAATCTAAGTGGTTACATCCTTTTAAAGGTCAGGCATTTCACATTCACTCATTTAAGAAAATCTTTGATTTAAAATATTATATACGAAAGCATACTAAAAAAGTTGAGTGCTTGTATTTTTATTATAACACGTATTTTGTTACACACAGTTCTTATATTGAGCTGTCTTTTCACAGAAAGAAAAAGACTGAATGGTCCTTAAAAACAGGGTCATGTGTTACTAGCTTCTGTGTTAATCTGTACCGTTTTGCAAAACACCTTGCACAAAGGTGGTATTCAAATAGTTTTTTCATGAAATTAATTAAGTGAATAAGGCTCTTAGACATCCTAGATCAGGCGTCCCCAAACTTTTTACACAGGGGGCCAGTTCACTGTCCCTCAGACCGTTGGAGGGCTGCCACATACTGTGCTCCTCTCACTGACCACCAATGAAAGAGGTGCCCCTTCCTGAAGTGCGGCAGGGGGCCGGATAAATGGCCTCAGGGGGCTGCATGCAGACCGCGGGCTGGGCCATAGTTTGGGGACGACGCCTGTCCTAGATTTTGGAAGGGGAATTTACAAATGTTTTTGAAATAACACAAATGTGGATATTCTCGGGAAGAGGAATAGAAAATGGAAAAGAGAAACTAGAGCAGTGAGAGGTAAGAATTATCCAAAAATATTCTTGGTTGATTACACTAGTGGATTCAGTGGGTATTTCAAATTTTCACAAGATTTTTTTTTTTTTTTTTTTTGAGACAGAGTTTTGCTCTGTCGCCCAGGCTGGAGAGCAGTGGCACGATCTTGACTGACTGCAAGCTCTACCTCCAGAGTTTGAGCAATTCTCCTGCCTCAGCCTCCTGAGTAGCTGCAATTACAGGCACGAGCCACCACACCTAGCTATTTTTGTATTTTTAGTAGAGATGGGGTTTCGCCACGTTAGCCAGGCTGATCTCTCGAACTCCTGACCTCAGGTGATCTACCTACTTTGGCCTCCCCAAATGCTGGAATTACAGGCATGAGCCACTGTACCCAACCTAAAATAATAAATTTTAAGTTAAATTTTGCACCCTACTCTAAGAACAAGAATTGGAACATAGTCTATCCTACTCAACTTATCCTACTTAAGCTCTCTGAACTTCCCTGATCTATAAAATGGGCATAAAAAAACAGTATTATCTTACACAGATTTTAAAAAGACTAAATGGAAATAATACGAATCTAAGCACCATGCCAGGCAAGAGTAAGCACTAACCAAAATTAGTTATAATTCCCAGGAAACTGCAATCTAAAATGTTAGAGATACAATATTACTCAGACCAGTGGTTCTTACAGTGTGGTCTGTAGCTCTCGGAAAGTCCCTGAAACTCTTTTAGGGAGTCCATAGGTCAAAACTATTTATATGACATTATTTGTCTTTTCCACTAGGATAACATTTGCACTAATGGTGCAAAAGCAATGGTAGGTAAGGCTGCTGGGACCATAGCATGAATTGCAGTAACGGCATCAAACTGTGCTAGTAGTAGTATATTCTTCACTATACATTTGTACAGTTTTTTAAAAGTTTCATTTAATCTTCATAAAGCAGTAAAGATTATCAATTTTATTAAATCCCAGCCCTTGAGTGCATGCCTTTTAATATCCTGTGCGATGAAACTGGCAGTATGTATAAAACACCTGTTCAAGCTCTGTTCCTTTTGGAAAAAGAAATACAAAAAAATAAAAGAAAATAAAGAAAAATAAACAAAGTACTTGGTCCATATACCTAAGTAGATGGCTGTCTAAAAAATGCACTTGTGAGCTGCCTACATTGTTGAGTTGAACTAGTCTTGATCCATGGAACAACATTTTTACTTGAAAGATCCACAGACAAATTACGGCTATTCAGACTTGGCTATTTGGCAGACATTTTCTCAAAAGAGAGTATGAAGAAAAATAATTGTCAGTATTTGGTGCCAATATTAAAACTTGAGCTTTCAAGTAAAAATTAGAATTATGGAAAATGTATATCTGCCACCATGAGTCTGACAACTTTCCAATGCTTAAAAATTTTTATGAAATTGGTAGTGATATTAACATAGTTTAAATACTGCAAAATAAAATGTGATTTGAGAAATCTGTGTAACTCAGTGAACTGGTATTTTCTAAATGACCCATGTTAGAAAACTGTGCATGGCTTAAAGATCCAGTAAAAATGTATAACAGATCAATGGATTTTAATCTGTTAACAGAGTATGAATGTTCACTAATACAGGTTCAGATTCCACAATGCAACTAATTTTTCTTTAAAAAGGCAGAGCATAGTGGCTCACACCTGTAATTCCAGCACTTTGAGAGACCGAGGCGGGCAGATCACAAGGTCAGGAAATCAACATGGTGAAACCCTGTCTCTACTAAAAATACAAAAAATTAGCTGGGCATGGTGGCATATGCCTATAATCCCAGTTACTCAGAAGGCTGAGGCAGGAGAATCACTTGAAGCAGAGAGTCAGAGGTGGCAGTGAGCCAAGACTGCGCCACTGCACTCCAGCCTGGGCAACAGAGTGAGACTCGGCCTAAAAAAAACAAAAAAAAAAACAAGTCAACTTGTCAAATTCACAGTAGTACAAAATATCCACAATTAGCTGGAAAGATCATTAATGTACTCCTCATTTTTCCAACTATATATCTGTATCTGTGAGGCTGGATTTCCTCATGTACTTCAACCAAAACAACATATCACAATAGGCTGAATCCAGAAGCAGCTATGAGAAACCAGCTGTCTTCTAATAAAGAGATTCACAAATATGTAAAATCACGCCTATCTTCTCACTCAATTTTGGGGTTGGAAAATACGGTTACTTTTCATTTAAAAAAATGTTATATAAACAAGAAGTTATATTATTTTTAATGAATAAACAAGTAAATTTATCAGTTTTAATTTCTAATCAGGTAAATATTGACAGATAAAACTTAACGTAAAACAAACATCCTTTGAGGTTCTCAATAATTTTTAAGAATTATGAAACCGTGAGACCAAAATGTTTGTGAATTGCCATCTTAGATGATCCACTGTTTCTGTTCACAAAGTTCAAAAATAATCTACCCTATACACCAGGCGTCCCCAAACTACGGCCCGCGGGCCGCATGCGGCCCCCTGAGGCCATTTATCCAGCCTCCCCTGCCACACTTCAAAAAGGGGCACCTCTTTCATTGGTGGTCAGTGAGAGGAGCACAGTATGTGGCGGCCCTCCAACGGTCTGAGGGACAGTGAACTGGCCCCCTGTGTAAAAAGTTTGGGGATGCCTGCTATACACAGTACACTGTAGTTCTACAGTACTGTGAAGGCATTTGGACAGTTAGAACACAAAGTAGATGATCCAGATATCAAATTTGAACCTGGCGGAAATATTTTGGGATATCCTAGTATGTGATCTCCTATAAAGTAACAATGTGCTCCTGGTTTTTAAGGTAGGTCATTAGAAGGCTCTTTAGGCACATGCCAGGTATTGAGGAAAAGAAAAATCTGGCACAGAGTACACACGAAAATAGCTCCTATACCATTCTATACCATTTTGCCTCCCTTCCCCCTAAAACTTGCTTTCAAATGAACCGAGATAAGACACCATTGAAATTATCAATTCAAATTAAGATAAGAAAAATCTTATAAGAAATCCTGTAGGAAAGTAAATAAATGTGGAAGGCTGCCTAGAGAATCAGATTTTTCTCTAGAAGGTTTCTGGCTCCGTGTGAACCTTCTTCCACCCTGCCCTAAATAAAAAGACCACACAAAAACAAATTTCCAATGCACGTGGGGCTTCTCTGTTCCCCAAAGGCTTCGATTCAACTAATAAATGACATTAACACTGGAAATGGCTCTGGATGCCAAGGCCAGCCTTAGAAATCACCTTGACTGCCGACTGAGAATCCCTGGGAGGGATGTAGGTGTGGTAATAACAAAAATTCAAAAAAGTAAGCATTTTCTGATGTTTTGATAATGTTAGTCTGTGCCAAGCACTGTTTTAAGCATTTTATGTAATCTTTTTTTTTTTTTTTTTTTGAGACAAAGTCTCACTCTGTCGCCCAGGCTGGAGTGCAGTGGTGTGATCGCAGCTCACTGCAGCCTTGACCTCCTCAGGCTCAGGTGATCCTTCCACCTCAGCCTCTTGAGCAGCTGAGGCTACAGGCGTATGCCTTCATGCCTGGCTAATTTTGTTTTTTTTGGTAGAAATAAGAGTTTCTATCACTCCGTTGCTCAGGCTAGTCTTGCACTCCTGGGCTCAAGCGATCCACTCACCTCCGCCTTTCAAAGTGTTAGAATTACAGGCATGAGCCACCATGCCCAGCCAAAATTAAGATTAATAACCCTATGAAATTGGTAAAGTTTTCGTCCTCATTTCGTCCTGGTATTCACTATAACTGCACCGCATCACGTTTGAAACTTGCATTCAAAAATACCATCCTTCCTGCCTCTTATCCTGGAAAACACAAAGGAACCAGTGAGACCCACAAAAACTAGATCGTTGCTATCAACACCCATTATCCAAGTAACTCAGTGGCTACCAGACTAGCCTGGTTCAGGGCACGCTGCCTGTAGTCCCAGCTACCTGGGAGGCTGAAGCAGAAGGATCCCTGGACCCCAGGAGACTGAGATCAGCCTGAGTAGAGTAAGATACCCATCATAAATGTCAGAGTAAAAGCCTGATACTTTTTCCTACAACAAATTCCTCTTTCAAGAGATTAACTTGCTATTTAAGAGAGAGAGAGAGAGAGAGAGAGAATATTAAAATGTTCCTTACAATAAGAACTCAAAGGAATCAAAATGAATCAAACTTGTGAGGATGCTTTTAGGTACCTCTCGATTAAAACAAAGAAGCATTCCAGAAATATACCTGTTGGAGCCATCTTTCATATGGACTTTGGCGTAAAGAACATCCACCATGCCAGGATCATCATTCATGTATTCTATCCCTGCCATCTCCACTTCTAGGGGTTTACCCCCAGAAATGTCACTGCAAAGAAGAAAACATTAAGATATTTAAAACTGTTTAAGCTAAGAGGGCTATTATATTTTGAAACATGGTTAATATAGTCAAATATGTATGTTACTTACATTATGTACAAAAACATAGTAGTGTTTTTCCCTAACATTATCTAATTCCCCTTCTAATTTGAAAATTAATAAATTCTCAATCCACGCAAATTGGAAAACACTGGAAGCTACTTCCAATATCACACTATATTTATCCCAATACCAGTTTATTAGCACTGTCTCACAGAGAAAGCCAAGTGATGACAGTTCTGATCCATAGACATTTACTATGTTGGCTCATCTCTCAGGGCCCCAACTCTACTATTTCCACAAGTTATGAAGAGCATTTCACTCATATACCAAAGGTGGAGGTGTATACTGGTATCACATTTTTACTTACTTTTTGTTGTTGTTTTGAGACAGAGTTTTGCTTGTTGCCCAAGATAAAGTGCAATGGCATGATCTCAGCTCACTGCAACCTCCACCTCCTGGGTTCAAGTGATTCTCCTGCCTCAGCCTCCTGAGTAGCTGGGATTACAGGTGCACACCACCACACCCAGCTAATTTTTGTATTTTTAGTAGAAATGGGGTTTCACCATATTTGCCAGAGTGGTCTTGAACTCCCTAGCTCAGGTGATCCTCCCGCCTCAGCCCTGCAAAGTGCTGCGATTACAGGTATGAGCCACTGTGCCCAGCCTGATATCACATCTTTAAGAGCAATATGTCAATATTTATGAGAAGGCTTCATTAATAAAAACCCTTTCCCCAAAGAATTCCATTTCCAGGAGCCCATCCTAACTAAACAATTACAAATTCAGTTACATGTAAACTTGTATAACTGTTGATAAAGCAAAGTTCTCCTTTACAGAAGAACTCCAAAACTAATAAATGCAGAAGGAACAATGAAATTATATCCCTGCAACCCTTGATAACTTAATGGATCTTGACAATGATCACCAATGGCTGCTAAAACTTGGGCAAAAGGCTAGGGGAAATATAAAGAGACCTCTTTAAAGAGGAGCTCTATAAATAACAGTCATGATAACCACACCTGAACTCACTGACTAAGCTGAGTATTAACAAAAAAAGAAACAACTAGACAATATGTGCCTCTTCGTATGATGCAATAATATACTCATATTCATGAGAAATAATTTATGCATAGGGTTTTTTTTGGGTTTTCTTCGTAGACAGGGCCTTACTTTGTCACCCAGGCTGGAGTATAGTGGCATGATCTTGGCTCACTGCAACCTTCACCTCCCAGGTTCAAGTGATCCTCGTGCCTCAGCTTTCTAAAGAGCTGGGATTACAAACATGTGCCACCATGTCCAGCTAATTTTTATACTTTTAGTAGAGACTGGGTTTTCCCATGTTACCCAGGCTAGTCCCGAACCTGGCCTCCCAAAGTGCTAAGATTACAGGTGTGAGCCACTGCACCTGGCCTAGGCATAGGGTTGTGTGTTTTTTTGTTTGTTTGTTTGTTTTTTTAAGAGACGGAGTTTCGCTCTTGTTACCCAGGCTGGAGTGCAATGGCGCGATCTCGGCTCACCGCAACCACTGCCTCCTGGGTTCAGGCAATTCTCCTGCCTCAGCCTCCGGAGTAGCTGGGATTACAGGCACGCGCCACCTGCCCAGCTAATTCTTTGTATTTTTAGTAGAGACGGGGTTTCACCATGTTAACCAGGATGGTCTTGATCTCTTGACCTCGTGATCCACCTGCCTCGTCCTCCCAAAGTGTTGGGATTACAGGCGTGAGCCACCACGCCCGGCCCAGGAGTAGGGTTTTAAATGAGGCATAAAGTTTTGTTTGGAGCACCAAATGACTGGCAACAGAATAAAAGTCAAATAGCATGGTAATGATTAGACTATAATATTATGTATGACCAATAAATAAACTATACATATGACTAAGGAAGCTTTTAGGTACTGATATAAAATGGTATATCAAACTGATATAAAAATATTTCCAAGTTTTAAAAAAGGTCCACAACGCCGGGCGCGGTGGCTCAAGCCTGTAATCCCAGCACTTTGGGAGGCCGAGGCGGGTGGATCACGAGGTCGAGAGATCGAGACCATCCTGGTCAACATGGTGAAACCCCGTCTCTACTAAAAATACAAAAAAATAGCTGGGCATGGTGGTGCGTGCCTGTAATCCCAGCTACTCAGGAGGCTGAGGCAGGAGAATTGCCTGAACCCAGGAGGCGGAGGTTGCGGTGAGCCGAGATCGCGCCATTGCACTCCAGCCTGGGTAACAAGAGCGAAACTCTGTCTCAAAAAAAAAAAAAAAAAAAAAAAAAAAAAGGTCCACAACAATGTGCACACTATGCTACTTGTACAAAATATAGAGGTGAGAAAAATATATATCTGTGAGATATATATATTATATATATTATATAGATGTATAAACATAGGTACATATATATATATATGTGTGTATATATATATATATATGTTTGTTTATACATCTATAAAATTCCTGAAAGGATACAGAGAGAAAGTGGTACACTGCTTGCCTTAGAGAGGAAAGCAGGTAGTTGATGAATCTCAGTGGTAGGGAAACTGCACCGCGTATCCTTTGCACCCTTAAGTTTTTGAACTATATAAATGTATTATCCATTAACAAGTTAAAATTTTTTTAATATGCAAAATAAATGAAACACAAAAGTGTACATATTGAATAACTACTTATAGGACATTAAAAAGCAAACCATCAAGCCTGTAATCCCAGCACTTTGGGAGGCCGAGGCGGGTGGATCACGAGGTCGAGAGATCGAGACCATCCTGGTCAACATGGTGAAACCCCGTCTCTACTAAAAATACAAAAAATTAGCTGGGCATGGTGGCGCGTGCCTGTAATCCCAGCTACTCAGGAGGCTGAGGCAGAAGAATTGCCTGAGCCCAGGAGGCGGAGGTTGCGGTGAGCCGAGATCGCGCCATTGCACTCCAGCCTGGGTAACAAGAGCGAAACTCCGTCTCAAAAAAAAAAAAAAAAAAGCAAACCAACCAAATCTATGGTGATAGAAATCAGAAGACAGGCTGCTTCTAGGAGAAGTGAATTCACTGGAAAAAGGCATGAGGGAACCTCGGGGGTGATGGCAGTGTTCCATGTCTTGATTGGGGTGAGGTTGCACAGGCACAGACATTTGTCAAAGCTCAAACTACACATCAGAGCTGTGCATTTTTACTGTAAGTAAATTATACCTCAAAGGAAAAACACACATATATGCATCCAAAGTATTAATGGTAATTATTTTTAAGTGGTAAGATTACAAGTGATATTTTATTTTTGTTTATCTGTAATTCCTGGCTGTCCTAAAATTAACATTTCCCTTTGTGTTAAGTAAAGCCCCACCATTCTGTTTTCTTCCTGAATTCCTTATTAAAGAAATCTGTACTGCAATCAGTAAAGGCGCTGTTGCGCCATGCTGAAACCCCATTAAAAATCAGCTCACTGCACAGCCTTCTCCAAACCCCAGGAAGAGAGACACTTTCTCTATGTTATCCACATCTACATCCTGAAAACCTGACACCATGCCTTATACAGAATGGGTGTTCAATGTATCTCTGGTAAACATTTAATAGATGTTTTCAGGGTGAAGCTGTTCTGGACAATTTTGAGAAGAATGTGGTCACATGCTGATATATTAAATAATGTGGATATTTGTCCTTGCCCAAATCTCCTGTTGAATTGTAACCCCTAATGTTGGAGGTGGGGCCTAGTGGGACATGTTGGGATCATGGGGGCAGATCTCCTGTCAATGGCTTGGGTCATTCCCGTGGTGATAAATGAGCTCTCACTCTGAGTTCACACAAAATCTAGTTGTTTCAGTGTGTGGCAACTCCACCGCCACTCTCTGTTGCTTGTTCCTGCTTTTGCCATGTGCCATGCCTGATCCCCTTTACGTTCTGACATAATTGAAGCTTCCTGAGGCCTCCCTAAAAGCCAAGCATGCTTCTTGCAATGGCTGCAGAACCATGAGCCAATTACACCTCCTTTCTTCATAAGCTACCCAGTCTCGGGTATTTCTTTACAGCAATAATGAAAGAACAGCATAATACACATGCTACATTGTCACTAAGTTAAAATGTGGTACTGCCTTAAAACAGAAGTTGGAATTAGATGGGATACCAAGAACAAAAAATAAAAATAAAAAAAGATACAATTCAACAGGATCCAAAGCCTGCTTTATGAGCAGAAACACACTCTTTCAACCTACCCCTAAGGTTTATCAAGAGGGAGATTAAAAAGCAGGATAAAAATCCAATGGTTTGCCGGATAAATACTCTGTCTTGGCCAAACAATTACATCTGGGACACCAGTAAGCAAATTACTTTCCAACCGATGACATGTGAGGCAATAATTAGGCATTCATATTTGCTCATGGGTATTTTCTCTCTTCTTTCTAGTCCCTTTTAAACTTCTCTGGTTTGACGTCAGGCCTGCTGGGAACACTGAGGCACAGGAGGGTGCTACTGGAACTGAAGAGCTGCACATCTGTCAGACTCCGGACTCAGAGCGAGTGCATGGTCTGTGTCCTACATCTCACAAAGAAAAGTCACCAGGGACACAGCCAGAGCATCTGAATTTACTAAACACTGAATAATTAATTCACAATCTATAGAGCTACATGAGCCTTTCACTGAAAAATTGAAACAAAAATCCTGTTTTTGGTCTCATCACATCCTTCATATTAAAACACTACCCCAAAATTTATAACAAATACTCAACAACTCATTGTTCAAAACCCACTTATGAGTGAGAACATGCAGCATTTGGTTTTCTGTTCTTGTGTCAGTTGGCTGAGAATGGGGTCTGTTGGGGGGTGGGGGGGCTAGAAAAGGGATAGCAGGGGGTGGGGAGATTGGGGAGGGATAACATTAGGAGAAATACCTGATGTAGATGACGGGGGGATGGATGCAGCAAACCACCATGGCATGTGTATACCTATGTAACAATCCTGCACGATCTACATATGTACCCTAGAACTTAAAGCATAATAAAAAATAAATACTCAACTACTCATTTCCTTAATATAACACCACAGTTTTAATCAAATTCCAATATAGCCACATCTATTTTAATACTCCAATTTTAAAAACCATCAAATTAAACTACAGCAAACTATGTACAGATCTATTCATTTTTCAGTGTTTTCCTTTTCATGTTTTAATTTCAGATCACTATACTATAAAGGGTTCAGGTTAGAAATGCCATTATTTACTGACATTTTTTCTAAGTATACCAAGCACAAAGACTAAGGTCAAACAGCAAGAAAAAATGAGATGATTCAATTTGACTGACTGACTTAGCAGAGCTTTAATAGAAGCACCCTTTTTGTTTTTTTAAGAAGCAGTCTCTTCTCAGAAGTAAATCAATTTTGCACTTCTTACTTTTCACTTTTTAAACAAATGTATGTGACGAGGGAAATTAGGAGAAGAAGGTTGGGGAAGCTTGCTTTATTTTACTCGCTGGTTTCACATCTTCCCAGCTTTTTAAAAAGAGCATCTTTAAACAAATTTTTGCATGCACTGCAGATTTTTGGCAGGGAAACTTTGTCCTATTTCAAAAGCTTTGCTGAATTTGAAAAACTACAATTACTGTTTTCATACTGTCATGTCAAAAATTCTGAGGAACTATTAAGATTGCTCTTTATTCCCCAGGCACACTAACTCTGACATGCTTAAAGGGCTCAGATTTGGCATTCAGTCACAAAAGGCACCAAGAGACATAAAAGGGAAGAACCCGGCTAAATCTTCACATAGCTTAGGATAAAGCTTCAGTGATTAAAAACCTGTGACCTGATTTTCATAAGGTAAAAAGAACAAATACTTCTCTAAACAAATATTTTATCTACCTTTAAATTTTTTCTTAGCAGGATTATCCCAATGGCACCCAAGAAAACTCAGCAGCTTTCAGTTTAGTTTAGCAAAAAGTAAACTGGGAATAAGTTCAAGTATCAGAACTGATCTTTACACCAGGCAAAACTGCTCTGCTTTGTAAAATAAAGCATAACATTTTCCTTTATACAAGGAAAATGGCAAGTAACTAATGACAAACACCAAATTATTTCGAATTTTAGGTAAGATCTAGAGAAAACAGGTATGTCCATTACTGAGCAAAGAATAAGACAAGAAGTGTTCTTTGCTCACTGAGATGCAGAAAAGAATAGACTGCAAATCTTATCAGCTTATGAACTTGCTCAAGAAAAACATCTTGTCTTTGAACAATTTGTGGAAAAGGATAACAGGCCCATAAAGTGTTTATATTACACAGTTTCACATAAAACATAACTAGAGAAAAATTGTAGATCCTTTTATCTTGTTCTACCCAATGAACCAGGTAAGCCATTCCTACAAGGCCATGTTAGAATAGCACAGGGCCTGCCTACAATAATGGAATAAAAGAACTATTTGAGTGAATTGGCTTTCAAATTTCTCTCCTGTAAATCTTACATAAAAGGAAGAAAGTAAAGGTAAACAGGGGAAGATACGGTTCTTTGAAATAAAGCTGTTATGTCAGATGTATGTATAAATTAAAATTTTACAGTAAAAAAGAGTAACAACTCTGCCCTCAGAATAGTAATGCTTTCCCTGGGTCAAAACAGATTGCTTAGACTGCTTCTAGTATCCTTGCTGAACTGGCTAGGCATGGCAGCTCACTCCTGCCATGCCCAGCCAGGGAGTGGCCGAGGCAGGAGGGTTGCTGGAGACCAGAAGTTTGACACCACCCTAGGCAACAGAGCAAGACCCCATCCCTACAAAAAAAAAATTTTTTATATAAAAAGTTTAAATTTTTTAAAATTCTTGCTGAATCAAATAAAATTATTTGCTTTTATTTTTTTTAAGTCAGTGTTTCTGAAATATAATGAAGACTTTCCTAGAGAATCATGTTACAGTGTTTGAGTTACTGTGATAGACAGGATAATGACCCCCAAAGATGATGTCCCACTCTTTGGAATTTATAAATATGCTATCTTACATGGCAAAGAGACTTTTGTAGATGTGATTAAGGTTAAGGAATCTGACATGACAGGTTATCCTGGATTACCTGAGTGGGCTCCATCAAATCACATGAGTCCTTCCCATGTCATCCAGCCTCTAGTTCAAAAATAAGTCTGTAATGCCAAAAAGATGCCAGGCCAGGTAGACCACCCATTTCCATCCCTGAGGATACTCACTTAATGAATTCCTCTTTACACTGCTGTAACATCTCACATGTCTGCTGGATCTCCTCCTCACTCAAAAGCACCAACATCCCAATAGTTAGATGAAGCTTTTTAGGATTCTGGAAAATGCTGCTGTCAACCCCATGATCCTGTTATCAAAGGAAGAAAAACAAGAAACTCAGCCCATACAAAGGCAAATGGCAAGAATAAAACAGAGTCCCCAGAAATAAACCAACACATCTACAGCCAAGTGATTTTCCACAAGATGCCAAGATCATTCAACAGAGAAAGTCTCCTCAATAAATGATGCTGGAACAATAAAATACTCACATGCAAAAGAATGAAGATATATTACTACCTCCTATCATATACACAAATTAACGCAAAATGGATCATGACCTGGAATTTGGCAATGGATTCTCAGATATGACACCAAAAAACATGGATGACAAAAGAAAAAAATAAACCGGACTTCATCAAATTAAAAGACTTTTGTGCATCATAGGACACTATTAGGAAAGTGAAAAGAAAACTACAGAATGGCAGAAATATTTGCAAGTAATTTATCTCATAAGGGTCTAGTATCCAGAATATATAAAGCATTCTTCCAAATCAACAACGAAAAGACAATCTAATTTTTTGCTATTATAATGTTCTGGGGTACATATGCAGAACATTCAGGTTTGTTACATAGGTATACATGTGCCATGGTGGTTTGCTGCACCCCATCAACCCGTCATCTACATTAGGTATTTCTCCTAATGCTGTCCCTCCCCTAGTCTCCCACCCCCAACAGGCCCCAGTGTGTGATATTCCCCTCGCTGTGTCCATGGGTTCTCACTGTTCAACTCCCACTTATGAGTGAGAACATTCGGTGTTTGGTTTTCTGTTCTTGTGTTACTTTGTTGAGAATGATGGTTTCCAGCTTCATCCATGTCCCTGCAAAAGACATGAACTCATCCTTTTTTATGACTGCATTATATTCCATGGTGTATATGTGCCAGTCTATATTTGATGGGCATTTGGGTTGGTTCCAAGTCTTTGCTATTGTGAACAGTGCCACAATAAACATACATGTGAATGTGTCTTTATAGCAGAATTATTTATAATCCTTTGGGTATATACCCAAATGGTATTGCTGGGTCAAATGGTATTTCTAGTTCCAGATCCTTGAGGAATTGCCACACTGTCTTCCACAATGGTTGAACTAATTTACACTTCCACCAACAGTGTAAAAGTGTTTCTGTTTCTCCACTATCCTCTCTTATCATCTGTTGTTTCCTGACTTCTTAATGACTGCCATTCTAACTGGTGTGAGATGGTATCTCAATGTGGTTTTGATTTGCCTTTCTCTAATGACCAGTGATGATGAGCTTTTTTTTGTATGTTTGATGGCTGCATAAATGTCTTCTTTTGAGCAGTGTCTGTTCCTATCCTTTGTCCACTTTTTGATGAGTTGTTTTTTTCTTGTAAATTTGTTTAAGTTTTTTGTAGATTCAGATATTAGCCCTTAAGATAATCTATTTTTTTTTTATTTTTTAAGAAACTAGATCTTGCTCTGTTGCCCAGGCTGGACTGCAGTGGCACAATCACAGTTCACTATAACCTCAAACTCCTGAACTCAAGCAATCCTCCTGCCTCAGCCTCCTGCATAGCTGGGATTATGGGCGTGAGCCACAGAATCCAGTTGAACCTGATTTTAAAATGGGAAAAGGCACCGGGCACGGTGGTTCACGCCTGTAATCCCAACATTTTGGGAGGCTGAGGCAGGCAGATCACTTGATGTCAGGAGTTCAAGACCAGCCAAACCAACATGGTGAAACCCCATCTCCACTAAAAATATAAAAAGTAGCTGGGTATGGTGGCAGGCACCCGTAATCCCAGCTACTCAGGAGGCTGAGACAGAAGAATTGCTTAAACCTGGGAAGCAGAGGTTGCAGTGAGCCAAGATCACACCATTCCACTCCAGCCTGGGCGACAAAGTGAGACTCTGTCTCAAAAACAACAACAACAACAACAACAACAGGAAAAAGGCTTCAATAGACCTTTCTCCAAAGAAGAAATACAAATGGCTAACAAACAGAACTGGCTAACAAGCACATAAGCATCATTAGTCACTTAGGGAAATGCAAATCAAAACCACTATAAGGTACCATTTCACACCCACTAAACTATCTATAATCAAAATAACGGAAAATGACAAGTGCTGGTGAGGATATGTAGAAATTGGAACCCTCGTATATTGTTGCTAGGAAGGTAAAATGACTCAGCCACTGTGAAAAACAGTTTGGCAGTTCCTCAAAAAGTTAAACATAGAATCACCATATGACCCAGCAATTCTACTCCTAGGTGTATGCCCAAGAGAACTGAAAAAGAGACTCAAATACATGTATATGCATGCTTCCAGAAGCACTACTCACAATAGCCAAAAGATGGAAATAATCCAAACGTCCATCAACAGATGAATGGATGAACAAACTGTGGTATATACACACAGTGGAATATTATTCAGCTACAATAAAGAAATTCTGGCTGGGCACAGTGGCTCTTGACTGTAATCCCAGCACTTTGGGAGGCTGAGGCAGGCAGATCACCTGACATCAAGAGTTCAAAACCAACCTGGCCAATATGGTGAAATCCTGTCTCTACTAAAAATATATAAATTAGCCAGGTGTGGTGGGCATCTGTAATCCCAGCTACTCAGGAGGCTGAGGCAAGGAGAATTGCTTGAACCCAGGAGGCAGAGGTTGCAGTGAGCTGAGATCGTGTCACTGCACTCCAGCCAGGGTGATAAGAGCGAGACTCCATCTCAAAAAAAAAAAAAAAGGAATTCTGATATATGCCACACCACCACGGATGAATCTTAAAAACATTATGCTAAGTAAAAGCAGCCATACACAAAATGTCACATGTTGTATGACTCCTGCTGTAGTCTGGGTATTTGACTCTCCAAATCTCATGGTGAAATTGGATCCTCAATGCCTAAGGTGAGGCTTAATGGGAGGTGTTTGGGTCACAGGGGCAGATCTCTCATGAAAAGTGTAGTAGTAGAGTGAAAACTTACTCATTACTGCCAGGACAACAGTGTTGAGAACTTGAGAACTTCATTCATTTTTTTTTTTGAAATGGAGTCTCACTCTTGTCACCCAGACTGGAGTGCAGCGACACCATCTCAGCTCACTGCAACCTCCGCCTCCCAGGTTCAAGCAATTCTCCCTGCCTCAGCCTCCCAAGTAGCTGGGATTACAGATGCCCACCACCATTCCTGGCTAATTTATATATTTTTCGTAGAGATGGGGTTTCACTCTACTACTACAGCTGATTATTATAATAAAAAGAGAGCCTGACACCTCCCCTTGCACTCCTACTTGCTCTCTTGCCATGTGATCTCTGCACACACCAGCTCCTCTTCACCTTCCACTGTGAGTGGAAGCAGCCTGAAGCCCTCATCAGAAGCAGATAACTGACACCATGCTTCTTGTACAGCCTGCAGAACTGTGAGCCAAATAAACCCTTTTTCCTTATAAATTACCCAGCTTCAGGTATTCCTTTATGGCAACACTGGACGGAGTGAGACAATTCCATTTATATGATATATCTAGGACAGGTATCATCCACAGAGACAGAACATAAACCGGTGGTTATCAGGGGCTGGGGAGGTGTGAGTGAAGAGCAACTACTTAATAGGTATGGGGCTTCCTTTTGGGGTGATGAAAATGCTAGAAAACGAGAGCGAGCTGGTAGCTGCACAATACAAAGGTACTAAATGCCACTGAACTGTTCATTTTTAAATGGTTAATTTTGTTACATAAATTTATAAAAACTTAAAAAAAAAAGAAAAAGAAAAAGAAATGATAGCCTGGGAATGGCGTGTTCCAGAAAAAACAGAATGTCATCTAAATGTAGGTTCTAAAAATACCTTTTATTTTTATCAGCTTTGTTAGATCAGGAGCAACTGGGTCTCTTATGTACTTCCCCAAGGAGCAATATACTCTATAAAAACATACTGCTGTTTCCACCATAGTGGACACTCTGGTATTTTCAGGTAAAATACTTGGTGTTGAAAATAAATTCTTCCATGCAAAGAGATGACTGAAAAATGAATCAGGAGAATATCCAGACACTGGAAATGTCACATCAAATATGGTCAACTTTTTCTGGAATCATCATTCCTTGCACTTTAAAACTTTCGGCAGGTGGATCACCTGAGGTCAGTGTGAGACCAGCCTGGCCAACATGGTGAAACGTTGTCTCTACTAAAAATACAAAAATTAGCCTGGCATAGTGGTGTGTGCCTGTAATCTGAGCTGCTCACAAGGCTGAGGCAGAATTGCTTGAACCCAGGAGGCGGAAGGTGCAGTAAGCTGAGATTGTGCCACTGCACTCCAGCCTAGGAGATGGAATGAGACTTCATCTCAAAAAAAGAAAAAAAAAAATTAGGAAGCACAAAAAGTAAATATACCTCATAAATCCCTTTCTAAAAAATTGAGGTGAAATTCACATAATATAAAATTAACCCTTTTAAAGTGTACAATTCAGCAGTATTTATATTTAGTGTATTTACTGTTGTGCAACCACCAGCATTTTTTAATAGCAAAACATTTTTATCATCTGATAAAAGCATTCCATACCCATTTATTTACTTAATTTATTTTTATTTTTATTTTTGAGATGGAGTCTTGCTCTATCGTCCAGGCTGGAGTGCAATGGCACAATCTTGGCTTGCTGGAACCTCTGCCTCCCAGTTCAAGCAATTATCCTGCCTCAGCCCCCTGAGTAGCTGGCATTACAGGCGCCTGCCACCACGCCTGGCTAATTTTTGGAATTTCTGTAGATGGGGTTTTGCCAGGTTGGCCAGGCTGGTCTCGAACTCCTGACCTCAGGTGATACACCCACTTTGGCCTCCCAAAGTGCTGGGAATATAGGCATGAGCCACCATGTCTGACCCCCATACCCATTTAAATAAATAATCACTCCTCTTTCTCCATGCCCCATCCCCTAGTGATCTCTAATTTGCTTTTATCTCTTCTGGATATAATATATAGAAAGAATCATACAATATAAGACCTCTGTGACCAGCTTCTTTTATTTAGCATCATGTTTTCAAGGTTCACCAAGCTGTAGCATTATCACGGCTTCATTCCTTTTC